CCTGGCCTGCCTCAGGCAGAGGGGAGTTCCGGTGACTGAAGATGCACTGGGAAGTTCTTTTCACTCTGTAAGCGTGAGTGTGGCCTGTTCAGTCAGGCTCAGCTACCTTCACTTGCAGACAACTGGGCTGCAGGCTCTCTCACCCCACACACCCACACACCCCCCACACCCCACCCCCGTGCAAGGCCAACTCGGCCAACTTACCCCCTGCCCTCCCTCCTTCTCCAGGGAGATCTTAGTGAGTCAGAGCTCTTCCCTTCCAGGTGAGGACTCTGGGTCTGAGGAGAATAAGAAAAAGGACTTGACGCCAATCCCTACACTGAAACCTCTCCTTCCTTTCTAATGGTAATCCTGCCTCCTGAATCAGTGCCATTGAATTGCTAACGCACCTCCTTTGTTTTTATGCACGTCACAGAGGAAAACGCAAAGCCCTGCACAGAAGGCTCGAGAACCCCCTCCACGCCACCCTGCCCCAGCCCTCCCTCCAGGTGCTACCGGGCTTGTCCTCTGTTGTTTCACCAACTTCTCATTATTGCGTGAGACAAATCTCACATCTCCAGCTTGCTCCCTGGCTGTGTCTGATGTTTGTCAAAATTGCAAAAAAAGGTCTCCTGCAGATTGCTCTCCCAAGGGGTCCTCTTAGATTAAGAAATGCGTGGCTATGTTAAGATATGCTGTTCACTTAGGTTCTCAGAGAATTTAACTCCATTCATTTCGCAGAGAGCAGAGAAGGTACAGGGCCACGTTGGAACTAAAAACTGAAATACTAACTTTTAACTCATTTTATTTATTTTTTAAAATATATTTTTATTTATTTCAGCATGGGGAAAAAAACATCAATGATCAGAATCATTGATCAGCTGCCTCCTGCACGCCCTCCACTGGGAATGGAGCTCGAAACCTGGGCATGTGCCCTTGACTGGAAACGAACCCGGGACCCTTCAGTCTGCCAATGTTCTACCCACTGAGCCAAACCAGCTAGGGCCATTTTATTTATTTATTTATTTATTTATTTATTTATTTATTTATTTTAACAGTTCTGGCCAAGGAGGGTGGACAACAGGGAGGAAGGGGATGAGATGAAGTGGGGAGAATCCCAAACCCCAAACCTGGCGCTTATCGGCCTAGAGTGGTGAGTGGCTGGCAGGATTAACTCCTCTAGATCCAGGGCCGTGGTTGCCAGGAGGAGGAACCAGAGGCAGCTGCATTTGGGGGCATCTGCCAGTGTCCCCTCGGCCGGAGATCAAGTGGCGTTTGGTCCAGAATTGGTTAAGATGCTCCACGCAAGATCAGGTTCAGCTCCCAGGCGGGTGGTATCCTAAGCAGGGTGAGGCTGGTAGTCCTTAGGCCCCCAAACAAGGTGAGATGTTGTGCGACCAGGGGAGACTCGGGAGATGCCCAGGGTGGGGGAACACTGCAGGCAAAATCCTCGGCTCTGGCCCCTTCTGGTTAAAAGCTGAGTGAGTGAGAAGGGAGATGGCCCAGGTGGGCACAGAGGTCTCCAGATGCGGCCACTTCTCCAGCCCTCTGCCTTGTTAGGGGAGAGGGGGCAAGGTCCCCAGGGCTCCTGCCTGTGCAGTGAGCTCCGCCCGGTAGTTCCAGCCTTGGGCAGCCCGCAGGCTCCAGGAAGCAGGGCGGGGTGCCTCAGCCACTCAGGCGGCCGGCAGGGGTCAGTGTTCGGCCGCACGTGAGCAGGCAGCAGCCAGCTGCTGCATCTGGTTCCTCCAGTTAGGTTTTGTCCGTACCAATCTGCCTGGACTGTTCACCCACCATTATCTGCGTTCTCGCCTAGCGGGACCCCACATCTCTCCAGGCTCTCCCCGGCTGTCCCTCCCAAGTAAGGATAGTAAGGATGCCTGCACCCCTCCGTAAGCATATGTCACTCTTGGCTTTGGCTACACAGTGGTGCCAAACTGGAAAGGGGTGGGGCTTGGAGTCAGGTTCCTGCTCTGTCATTTACCAGCTGTGTGACTTTGGGCAAACCACTTTGCCCCTCTGTGTCAAGTTTCTCGTCTTCAAACATGAGCTAATGACAATAAAAATTAAAATTGGAACTTCCATTTGACCCAGTAATTGCACTTCTAAGAATATATCCCAAGAAAATAGAAACACCAATCAGAAAGGATATATGCACCCCTATGTTCTAAGCAGTAGTTGAGATTTGGAAACAGCCTAAGTGCCCATCAGCAGATGAGTGGATTAGAAAACTGTGGTACATCTACACAATGGAATACTACGCTGCAGTAAAAAAGAAGAAATTATTACCATTTGCAACAGTCTGGGTGGATCTGGAGAGCCATTATGCTAAGCGAAATAAGCTAGTCAGAGAAAGATAAATATCACATGATCACACTCATTTGTGGAATATAATGAACAACAGAAACTGATGAACAAAAATAGAACCAGAGACATGGAAGCATTGAACAGACTGTCCAACCTCAGAGGGAAGGTGAGGGGTGAGGGGGAAAGAGATCAAACAAAGGACTTGTATGCATACATATAAGTATAACCAACAGATACAGACAGTAGGGGGGTGAGGGCATGTCCTTGGGGGGGGGGAGCAAGCAGAGGAGGTCAATGGGGGGGAAAGGGGACTCATGTAATACTTTCTTTAAAATTTTTTAAAAATATATTTTATTGATTTTTCACAGAGAGGAAGAGAGAGGGACAGAGAGCTAGAAACATCGATGAGAAAGAGATATCGATCAGCTGCCTCCTGCACAACCCCTACTGGGTATGTGCCCGCAACCAAGGTACATGCCCTTGACCGGAATCAAACCTGGGACCTTCCAGTCCGCAGGCTGACGCTCTATCCACTGAACCAAACCGGCTTTGGCTCATGTAATACTTTAAAGAAAGAATTTAAATAATAAAAAAGAATAGCTGTTGTGCCATGTGCCCAAGATTTATACGCCATATGCTCTGTACATTATCATCTCAGGGCTTAATTTGAAGACACTGGCTCGGAGAGAATTAGCTGCAGGAGGTAGCAGCATTGGCATCTGAACCCAGGACTGGCCCTTTCCACCATGTTACCCTGCCTTGCAGCGCTATAGTGAGAATTAAAATGGGAAAATTTTATGATTATTCTCTCTTTCACTTTGGCCTGGATCCTGGTGGGTGCTCTCTCCTACTAAGAAGAGAAGTAGGGGAAGGCAGTTTTCAATGTTAGGAGCGTCCCCCGTTGGTGGGCGTGTGAAACCAGCCACTGGAATACAAGCTCCAGAAGGGTGGGGACCTCATCCGTCTTGCCCACGACTCTGAGCCTCTTGCTCAACATGGTTCCTGATGCACCATAAATATGGCAGACTATATAAATTTACACACCTCTTAAATTCATTCCAAGACACATCCTAATATAGAGCCATTTTTCATTTCAACCATTCCATTACCAGGCAAGCGACACTAATTACTAGCTCTAATGGCCATTATCTAATTTAATTAAAGGGGTTATTGGAGCTCCTGAAACTCCTACCACCTTCCATTACCTAAGTCAAGGGGATTTGATAACAGGCTTTTTATTAGGATGTTCACAAGATAAATTAAGTAAACCAGCTTAATGACTCGTTTTTGTGACCAATGGCATTGAGAATAAGATGTAGGGGAATGACAGATGCGATGAAACGGAAGTCTGAGAAAATGCTGTGGGCACGTGGCTCCAAACGACCTAGAATTCTCTCTCTCCCTGTGGCCCCAGGGCTTCAGAGACTCTCAGCCTCATCTCCATCCTCACCGGGCCTCAATAATCCATTTTGAGGACCTTGATGCTTGTGATGCTGACCAAGGAGGAGGCCTAAATTAGCAATTCCTAGACCGGTGGTCGGCAAACTCATTAGTCACCAGAGCCAAATATCAACAGTATAACGATTGACATTTTTTCTGAGAGCCAAATTTTTTAAACTTAAACTTCTTCTAACGCCACTTTCTTCAAAATAGATTTGCCCAGGCCGTGGTATTTTGTGGAAGAGCCACACGTAAGGGGCCAAAGAGCCGCATGTGGCTCTCGAGCCGCAGCTTGCCAACCACGGTCCTAGCCAGACGTGTGTGTGACTATTGACCAATAGGATGGCAACAACAGGAGAGCAGAGAGAAGGCAGCCTTTTGTCCAAAGTCAGGCAGAGGCTCAAGAGGAAAGCTGGAACGTGGAGCAGGCTGTCTACGCGGACAGTCTCCCTAAAAGTCCATTTTCAAAACAACCACACGGGATAACCAGAAGGTCGGGGCTGGGTTTGGCTTTGGCAGCGGTGCGGTGCCAAGGACAGAGACCTGGAGGCGAGTCCTCAACGAGCCAGCCTTGGCTTAGCTTCTTAGCTTGTCTGCGTTTTTTTGTTGTTGTTTTTTTGTTGTTGTTGTTGTTTTGTTTTGTTTTGTTTTTAAAATATATTTTATTGATTTTGTACAGAGAGGAAGGGAGAGAGATAGAGAGCCAGAAACATCGATGAGAGAGAGTCATCGATCAGCTGCCCCCTGCACACGCCCCACTGGGGATATGCCCGCAACCATGGCACATGCCCTTGACCGGAATCGAACCCGGGACCCTTCAGTCCCCAAGCCCACGCTCTATCCATTGAGCCAAACCGGTTTCGGCATGCGTTTTAAACTCTAAATGGGGGCGGCGTTCTCTGCTGGTTTTCTCCCTACTGCCCGGAGCGTCCCTCTTATGTCAGCTGCAAGTCTTCTGTTGCTCTCCACACCCAACTTTTGTGGGTTTGTTTTTTTGTTTTTGTTTTTGTTTTTTAAATGTATTTTCTTGATTTTTCGTAGAGAGGAAGGGAGAGGGATAGAGAGCTAGAAACACCGACCAACTGCCTCCTGCATACCCCCCACCGGGGATGTGCCCGCAACCAATGTACATGCCCTTGACCGGAATCGAACCCAGGACCTTTCAGACCACAGACCAACGCTCTATTCACTGAGCCAAATCGGTTTCGGCTCTGCCCAACTTTTGGTCAAGTCTATCTCCAACTTCGTTGGGAAGTGTCATTAGAAAACCTCGCCCAGTGCTTGCTTCGGCAACACACACACTAAAATTGGGCCAATACAGGGAAGATTAGCATGGCCCCTGCGCCAGGATGACACGCAAATTCGTGAAGCGTTTCATATTTTTGAGCAGCGGGGCTGCGGGCGGGGCTGCAGGTGGGTCTGGGTGGGGCGGGGCGGGCAGGACGCCCGCAGGAGCTCTGCCTGGGCCCCGGGCGGCCACGGAGCTGCAGAATATGCACCTCCTACCCAGACAGCCTGCGTGGCCCATTCGGACACGTTCGTCAGCCTGGAAGAGTGTCGGTCACAAGCGAGCCAGGAAGAGAGCGACGATGGAGACGGCCATCACCCTGGAGAAGCTGTCCCCAGACAGGGCCAGGTGCTGGGGGTGATGACTCCCATGGGCTCGGGGAGCCATCGGCCTCAGGAGATAGAAATCGAGGAGTCAGAATTTGCCCTGCTGTTCCCTCCGGTGGAAGGCATAGACACACAGCCCTTCCGTTTCATGAAGAATCCAAAGATCCTAACGCTCGGAGCTCGAAAGACGTCGCTTCACCTAAGTGGGCCTCCAAGATGACCCCCAGCTCAGCGTGGTCCACCGCTGCCAGGTGGGGGCCAGCAGCTACGGCGACACGATCGTCGTGGTGGCCGGGGCCAGGTGGACGACCTGGTGTCGTAACCTGACAGGTGCCCCGGGGATGTGGACGGCACGGGCGTGGTCAGAATGCTACGGAGCTGCAGAAGGAGGACGTGGGCGCCCAGAAGGCGGTGGAGGCCGCTGGTTGTTTTAATAACACAGAGCTGGGGGCAGGGACTTCGGAGGGCTGGTCACCCTTAATTGCTCTAAAGCAGTGTTTCCCAAACTTCTGTCATGATGAGAATCACCTGGTGGAGTTGTTAAACTACAGACTCCTGAATCCCCACTAAGAAGGGCTAAACTAGAATTTTTGGGAACATAGAGGTAAAATTGTGTACTTAACTAGTGCTCTAGGAGCACTAAGTTATAGAGAGGAAGAGAGAGGGATAGAGAATTAGGCCCAGTTCTACCAGGCCCTCCTATTTCCCCACCTTACTCCTGGACTGCCTTCATCAGTGCTGGAATGAGAAGAGGCAGGGAAAGACAGGAGCAGAAAAAACCTTATGTGACCAGTACAGTTTTAATCAGCTGTTGGAGCTCTCTTAGTACGGGCAATGTCCTAAGGTAATTTCTTTCTCATGGGGCACTTTTGTGGGGGTTTTAAAAGCCCTCTCACATCTGGCTATTATTTAAAATCAGAACACCAATAATTAAGCAACTCCCCTTGTTGGGCCATGAGCCACTCAATCCCAATTCTGCATTCCCTGCCCATGCTGTTCACCGGCCGCAATGCCTTCTCCTTCCTCCTGTCACCATATCCTGCCCTTTCTTCGAGGCTCACATAGCCCCTTTTCCTGGAAGCCTTCCATGGCTATTCCAACTAGCTCCATTGTGCAAGCTCCGCCCATCTTTCCGCTGTCAACTCCCGCTTCCCAAGGGCAGGTTTTGTCTCACAGTGAATACTATGGGCCTTGGGTTACAGTGGCGAGCACAAGGCTTTGAATCAGACAGTCTGAGTTCAGACCCCAGCTCTCATACTAAATAAATAGCTAACTTTAGGCAAGTTAAGTCACTTCTCTGAGCCTCAGTCTTCTCATCTGCAAAACGAGGCAAAGAATTACAACAGCGCTGGTTGTTCTGAGATTCTGAGGGAGGTGACGTAGGAGAGGAAACTGAACAGTCGCAGGCACGCTGTCACCTCTGAGGGCCACTCAGCTGGCTTACAATCAGAATATGGCCTCCTCAGCATCTCTCTGCCAGGCTCAAGCCTCCCAGGGCCATCTGAACAGGGTCCACCCCCAGAGCAGCCCGGCCCCTCCCAGGGAGGGAGGCAAATCATGCTGATGCGGCAGAACTGGAGATATTGGCAGAAAGAGTTCCTGATTGTGTTCTTCTTCAGCCCAGAGGTGGCTGGGAAAGCGATTCCAAAGCCAAGACAAGTAGTTTCCTGGAAAAGGAAGGCCTTGTTTCCTGGACTGGCTCCTCGGCTGGTTATTAAATGACCAATAAAGCAGAGCTTATAAAATGGATGAGCATGGGCCGCGTCACTGCCATGGTATCCAGGCACCAGTCCGTCCAGGATTTCATTTGCTGATAGACAAAGGAGGATGTGCTCCAAAACACATCCTGAGGGCGGGGGGCGGGGAATGGGAATAATGCTCTCCAGAGGCTCCTCTGTGTCTATGATGTAAATAGAGTCACGTCTACACAGACTCCCCCAACCACACTCAGTTATCTGCATCTTTTGGACTCTGAGTATTTGCCCTTTGCCCTTTGTGAAGCCTTGAAAAGCGTGAGCTGTCCATAATGTTGTGCTCACAGAGATCTCTTCAAGATGTGCGAGAGTGAAAGATGTGTTTGTTTAAGGTCTTATGGCCATCCAGTATGGCCATGGCTTCCAACATTGGAAAGGAAACGAAAATTATAGTTCCCAAACGAGATATTTTCCAGTGTCCAGATGTTCAGCGGCATGCAAACCAAATGTCTAGGTTGTGAGCTAGGGTTGTTTTTCCCCCCTTTTCTCAGTTTATATCCAGATGTTGAGTCTAACTGGTCAGAGGCGTAGAGAAGAGATAGAAGCTTCACGCAGTGAGTCTGTTCCCTAGCCTCTCTGGCTCCTCATGCGTGCTTCCTCTTCACAGCTCCCACATCCCTCCCCCAGCGCCCCTTCATGCTGCACCACAGAAAATGGCGCTCACGTCCAAAAACAACGGTGCCCTGGGCAGCTGGGTCTACACAGGCAGATTGGTTATCTCCAAGGAAAAATTATATTGATTATCCAGAACCATTCCTTCTTCAGAGTAGAGTACCCCCCTAGCAGACCTCACAGGAGAGCAAGGTTGAGCCAAGAAGTGTAGTGAGAGGTCCCAGGGGCTGCAGGAAATCCGGGCCAGGAGGTGGAGAGGGATTTCAGGGGAGACATGTGTGTATCAGCATCCCAGAGGTCTAGGGTGGATATCTCAGAAGGGAGATCTCTCCACAGGCAAGAGCAGAGACAGAGGACTGAGCCTGGGGCAGGACTTGAAGTGGGCGAAATGTTGAAAGACGGGGATAGACATCAGGCAGTTGGTAACCCAGGTGCTTGGTAACAGAATAGCCATCCTCACTCAGCTGGTTCTAATCAGGGAAAACACCCGGGGAAACAGCAGAAGGCAATGCTCCCTCTCTCCTTTGCCAAGGTCCTAATGAATTCCTCTCCTGTGTAGATATTCTTCCAATGACACGGAAGCAGTCCAGCGTGGGAAAGAGAGAGCCTCATTCTGGCTGGAACTGGACACCATCCCCTCATCTCTGGCCCAAGTCATGGGGACACAGCTAAACTCAAGGTCAAAGTTCTCCTACCACCAACGTTAACTCGTTCCCGCCTAGGAAGGAGGGACCTGGAGCCAAGTCTGCACCAGAGCCACCTCTCCAGCGGTTAAGGAAGTGGAGGCTACACTGTCCCCTGGCAACTGCGCCCACGGCCAAGAGCAGGACAGACAGGTTCTAGCGGGGTGACACCAGGCCGGAGACTGGAGACCACACACATCAGGCCATTGGGGTTACCGGCCCCAGGGGATTCAGAGGTGGGACTGGGAAGGGCAGCTGGGACCAAACCTTTGATGTTTGATGAAACTCTGCTCCAGGAACATGGAGCCTCCTCACCTCTGAGTCTAACAGGCCCCTGGCAGCATGGGCTGGTATCCCCTGGTGTGTGAGCCCTTTGGCAGACTGGTTTTGGAGTTACATTTTATATATATATATAATTTTTACAGAGAGGAAGAGAGAGTTAGAAACATCGATGAGAGAGAATCATTGATCAGCTGGGGATGTGCCCGCACCCAAGATACATGCCCTTGACTGGAATCGAACCCCGGACCCGGGGAACCCTTCAGTCCGCAGGCCCACGCTCTATCCACTGAGCCAAACTGATTTCAGCTGGAGTCAATTTCACACCTGTCCCAGGCACTTTCTCTGCTTCTGTCTGTCTCGCTCTTTCCCTTTTTCATTCTCACTCTCCTTTTCTTTCTTAATCTTTTAAAGTATGATTTTCTTTCTTATTTCCTCCATAATTTCTTTCTCTCTCCCCATTCCTTTTTATATGATCTCTAAAACAGTTTCTTCTCAGACTGATTCTCTGAGAGATGAGGCTTTGGTCCTTAAATTTGTATTGTTAGTGGCCAGTTAAATTTTTCCTGCAAAAGATTTCTAAATTTTCTAGTTTTTAATTTTTTAAAAAATTTATATATATAACCAAAAGAGCTGCCATTTACTTGATTAAAAAGAAAAGTGAAAGATCCCTTTTTCTATCACTTTTCCTATCCCTCCCCCACTCCCAGCCCCTGGCCTTCCGTATATCAAGTAGAGTTTTATCACATCTGCAGGGACAGCCCTACCAACTGTCACAGAGTTGGTGGGCTGATGACAGTTGGTGGCTGTTGTCACCTCACAAGTTCAGGGACACCATTAGTAATAGTCCCTGGTGGCTAAGCCCACTTCAGCAACTTTATTTTTTTTTTAAAGAAATATGCTCACATGGTTAAACCATATGTATAAAGTGGAAAATACCCCTCCCACACTGTCCGCATCTCTCCCCTTCTCACCATCACCCCATCCCCTCAGAGGAACCCTTGTGATTATCTCTGATATGTCCTCCCAGATTCTTTATGCAAATGAAAATTGTGATAATATATTATTTCCCCCATTGTATTTATTTTTAATGTTTTATTTATTTTATTAACTGATTTTAGTGAGAGGAGAGGAAGGGACAGGGAGAGAAATATTGATAGGCTGCCTCCTGCACGGCCCATACTGGGTAGCGAGCCAGAAACCTAGGCATGTGCCCTGACTGGGTATCAAACCAGTAACCTCTCGGTGCATGAGATGATGCTCAACCAACTGAGCCATACCAGCCAGGGCTCCCCTCCCCCTTTTTAAACAAAAGGTAACTACTATAATCCTATTAGATATATTTTTTCACTTAATAAAACCATTTCTTAATTATTAATAAAAAAAACTATTAACTTGATCAATAAATGTTTATTGAATAATGACTATGTGTAAAACACTGT